TCAGTCGTTCAATAATAACCAACATTACCGGCTATTGTAAGTTTTGGGTGATGTGGCATCTACGTGGCTTGTACGCTACAATACTCATCACCTACGTGGCATTGAGAAGTGCTTACATTATAAGAGGGTGAGATACGACAACTTATTAATTAAAACCCTAGATCGATCGATGGCATCTTCTTCCTCATCCTTTTCTTCCAAACGACAAGACGAATTACAATCGGATCATCCATGTGATTGCGATTTGCCATCTCGTGTGAAGACATCAAGAACCCCAGACAATCCTGGAAGGAAATTCAGAGTTTGTCAAAACTCACTGGTAATTCATATTTTTTACTTCTTCTTCATCCTTCAATTTAACATGTTCTTATAAATTTCTTGAAGAATGGAAAAAGTCCAAGCTGTAAATTTTGGCAATGGTTGGATGAGGATGAAGGGAGGAAAGATGGAAGAGGGCATTACAGGATGAAAGCAGAAGAAAGCTGCAATCTTACCTTGAAAATTTGTACCTTGGAGAATGAAATCAGCATATGTAGGATGAAGATTGAAGAAGAGAAGAACAGGAATAAACAAGAACTTGACAAAGTCAACTGGAAATTGTTTACCCATAGACTTGCATTAATTTTCTTGTTTCTCTTGTATGTCAAAATGTTTTTTTAAATTATGTATTATGATGTAGTATGACTAAATTATGTATGCTTTTGTGATGTTTTCAATGAAAAAGGTTATATTCTATCATTGGAATGGAATAGTACATTGTAATGGAATGGGTATTAAACTTGGTAGTATAAAAGATAGTAATAAACATTGTTATGGAATTGAATCATTGTAATTGAATCATTGGAATTGAATCATTGGAATGGTAGTGTACAAAACTTGTAATGTTATTGTTAATCACTGGAATTGAATTGTTCAAACAATGTAATGGAATTGTGATTACATTGTAAAGGAACTGTGATTACAGTTGATATTCTAAAAGATGGTAATAAATTATAAATAATACAAATGGTATTAGAAAGATGTGCAAAAGATGGTAATTGAAACATTGGAATGGTAGTGTACAAAACTTGTAATGTTATTGTGAATCATTGGAATTGAATTGTTCAAACAATGTAATGGAATTATGATTACACTGTAAAGGAATTGTGATTACAGTTGATATTCTAAAAGTTGGTAATAAATTATAAATAATACTAATGGTATTAGAAAGATGTGCAAAAGATGGTAATATATTATAGACATTCCAGGGAACATTGACTTCAAAAGATGTGTCAAAAGTTTTACATAACATAGTTAAACATTCATTACACCCAAAAGATGTGCAAAAAGTTAAGCTATTCCAACTAGTTTTCAAAAGATGTGCCAAAAGATTCCAAAGTTAAAAGATGTCAATCAAATATGCCAAAAACATTAACAACAGTACAATAAGCCAAAAGTTAATCCAACTCATACGAATTGTCATCACTACTGCCCTGTTTTCCCTCCCACATCTTTCTTATCTTCAGTTTTGTAATTCTTTCTGAAGGTTTCCTTGCCCTCTTTCCCACTACAACTTGAAAAGCTGGTATTTCCACTTGATCTTGAACTACAATTTGGTTAGCATCTTCAACTTGAACTTGCACTTCATGTTCAACCTCAGCTTGAACTGCAAGGTGAACTTCAACTTGGTTAGCATCATGAACTTCAGGATGATTTTCAGGTTCAACTTCAGCTTGCACTTCATCTTGAACTTCATGTTGCACTCCATCTTGGACTTCAGGTTCTACTCCATCTTCAACTTCAGGTTGCACATCATCTTCAAATTCAAGATCAAAAGAGTCAACATCACTTTCAGGTTCTATTTCAACTTCACTGTCACTGTCAATATCAACTTCATGTGCCAATACAACCTTCACTTTATCTGTTTTGTATTACTTGAAAAGTTAAGTTATGCCCAATATATTAAGTTATACAAGTTATATACAAATAAATATATCAAACATACCAGCTTTCTTGGATTTCTTTTTCTTTGAACTTGCATTTGATGATTCCCCAATTGGTTTTTGAGGACAGGTTGTTCTATTATGCCCACTTTCCCTACATATGCTGCATTTCATCACACTACCTCTTTTTGTGATTGAATGCTTTTTTCCTTGGTTTTCCCTCTCAATCTGATCCCTTTTCCTTTTTGTTGATGGTCTTCCTGGTAGCCTTCTCCTTTTGGGGGGCAATGGGCTGATGTAGTCTACATGAGGCCACATGTCACTACCATTTAGTGGGTTAATGGTATTCCTGTAACAGTTTAGGTACATTGATGTGGTAAACCATGGTGACACATACTCCTGTACATCCCTGTTGAGGCTTGCAATGCAAGCATACCCATGCACACAAGGGTAACCTGTTAACTGCCAAGTTCTGCAGGCACATGTCCTACTACCAATATCCACAACATATGCATCATACCCAAGTCTGACTTCATACTGTTGATAACCAGATGGTATTACTTTCCAAAACCTGTCCATATACACATGTTTAAAGACAAACATATATAAGGACAAACATGTTTAAAGACAAACATATATAAGGACAAACAGTTTTAAGCACTTACCTTTGAAGATCCTTAAGCTTGGACAACTTCAGCCTAATGGTAGGACATATGGTTAAATCCCAAGATTGCCCCTTAATCTTCTGTCTATAAAGCCTCTCCATCACATAAATTCGAATTTCTTCTAACATGGTGATTAGTGGTCTCTTCCTAGCAACTTCAATCACAGAGTTGAAACTCTCAGAGATACCATTTTCATATGCATCACAAGCCCTATCAGTCTGAAAAATGCTTTACTCCAAGTTTTAGGGTCCCTTTCCATCAAATGGTCATAAGCTAGTGGCTCTAATTTCTTGATTTCATTCATGTGTTGTTCAAATTTTGCAGGGGTAGTAGCTGCAGCAGCATACCAGAAAAGCTTTCTAAACACTTGGCCCTTAAACCTTTTCAGGAAGTTAGCACATATGTGCCTAGCACATTGCCTATGCTCTGCTGCTGGGACCCTTTCCTTCACAGCCTCAAGTAATCCCTGTTAGCAATAGACACAAAATTTAAACAACAAAAACATAACATAAGCTAAAATAAGATGAAAAAATAAAAATTGATTACTTTGTGTTGGTCTGATATCAAGGTTAGTCCATGCCCAACTCCCATTCCAAGGTCCTCAATTAGAAGGTTAATAAACCACTTCCATGTTTCTTTACTTTCCACTGATACAACAGCCCAAGCAATGGGATATATATGGTTATTTGCATCTCTACCTATAGCAGAGAGCAACTGACCTCTGCATATGCCCTTTAGGAAGCAACCATCTAGTCCAATTACCCTCCTACAACCTTCAATCCATCCATCCTTCAATCCCTTGAAACATACATAAAACTTTGAGAAATATGTGGTTCCATCAGGCATGACATCTACATCCATCTTCACTGTTGATCCAGGGTTAGTCCTTCTTATCTCTTCTCCATAGCTCCATGTTTTTGCATAATGCTCTTTCAAAGTACCCTCTATCTCCTGAAATGCATACTTCCTTGCATTTCTGCATTGACCAACACTTGCAATCAAATTAAATTTCTTGCTGACCTTAGCTTTCAACTTCCTTATACTCATCTTTGGTTTCTGAAGTATATGATTCATGAAATGCTTTGCTATCCATTTATAGGTAACAATGGACCCAAATTTGAACACTCTTGCACAATTATGCATATCATTCAGAGATTTAATCTGGAATGATTTTTCACTGCTCATCCAGGTTGCCCATAATCTAAAAGGACAACCTTTACCCTGTTTATTTGTCTTACCTTTACAACATTTTACCAATAACCTTTCATGATCACTTTTCTCATACCATAAATCATATCCATTTTTGACTGCATAGTTGGTGATACACAACTTCAATTCCAATGGATTAGAAAACTTCATACCCAAAACTGGCACCATTTGCTCCCATTCTTGATTCTCATTATGGACAGGGAACATAACATCCTTAAGTTTCCCATTGTTTGCTTCCTCTTCATCATCATCACTAATATGCCCTGAAAGTTTGTCCAAGAATGGGTCTCTAACAGTTTTATCAAAAGTATGTTCATCTTCATCATCATTCATGTTCATATTCCATTTTCATTGAAACTTCAGAATCCTTGTCATCCTCTTCATCCAACTCATCCAACTCATACCCTTTACCATCTTCTAAGAACTCGTTATCAGCCCAATCAAGAATTGGTTCATTTCGGTGGTCAATGTACACATCTAACTCACTCTCAAGACTATCACTCTCCAGACTATAAACAGTCTCCACAAACTCCCAATAATCAGCATCACTGTCGATTCTTCTAATACCCTCACACAAGCTTTCCTTTCTCATACAGTAGTAGACATTATCACATTCTCCATTTGTTAATTTCGTAAGCCACAAAAGAAACTCTTTATACGTAAATCCCCCAAAATCCACATCACGTACATTTGTTTTTACGGGGTCTAAGTACACCAATGGGTTTGGCGAAAAGAATCCATTGTAATGAAAATCTACAGATACATACATACCTGTAGATGAGGATGCCATGCTAGTAGTCGACTTCAATTCCAACTTCAATTCCAAGACCTAATCGTCGATTTGATGTATCGATTGATTTCTCACAGAAGAAGGTAATCGAGGTGTGTTAGTTGACGATGACGAACCCTAATTAAATGAGAAAGGGGTGTAATGGCCACGTAAGATTCCACGTAATGTTTTAAACCGAGCTAAATCAATGTTACCGGCTAAAACAGGTAATAGCCGGTAATGTTGGTTATTATTGAACGGCTGAAACAAGTTTGTTGGGTAAATGAGTACAAAAAAAACAATATTACCCATATGTGAACATTTGAAATACTTAATTACCTTAGTAAGTCAAATTCCCGTGACCATATTTATGATAACAATAAAATAAAATCCACTAAATTACTGAAATCGTCCATGTGGTTTGGTCAAAGTTGCATGTTTGGTTCCTAACTTTTTTTTTTCACTCGGATCGTCCCCGTGGTTTGATTTTGTTGCGTTTTTCGTCCATATGGTTTGATTTTGTTGCATTTTTCGTCATTTACATACCTAAAGTTAGGGACCAAACATGCAACTTTTACCAAACCATAGGGACGAAAAACGCAACAAAAGCAAACCACAGGGACGATCCGAGTGCAAAAAAAAAATAGGGACCAAACGTGCAATTTTGACCAAACCACAGGGACGATTTCAGTAATTTACTCAATAAAATATAAAATGATGGATTTGAGGAATAAACATATAGAATCGGTATTTTTTATAATTAATAATGAATATTTTTAAAAAAATTAAAAGGAAAATCATAAATAACTAGTTTAAAAAGAAACTACTAATAAATTATTTTTTAGTTTATAAACATAAAAATTTAAAAAAATTATAAAAAAAAACTACTTTATAAGCGCAAAGCATAATCTTAGATGGACAATAACCACCATAAAAATACCAAAAAGTTCAAAACCGATAGGATTGATACCAGCTATTACCAGACTTTAAAAAAAATGTTTTAATAAAATATAGTTATATAATATTAATAAAAACTATTTCATTAATTAAAAAAGCACATATTAGAAAATATAAATAAAAAATATATAATTGAAACATAGTAAAATAGTACATCAAATCTAATCATCGTTAGTCATAACACCATCATAATCATCACTCGAATCTTCTACAAACATGTCCGATTTGTCGTTTGTATCTTTGTGAAAATCACCGACAACGGGATTTACTTGAGCATTGAAGACGCGTTCCACCAAATCTATTACACTCGAGTATTGGGAAATTTCCCCTTCTAACCCTTTAATTTATGATTTTGCAACTTTGGCCCTTATGTTGGGCGTACATGGGTAGTACGTTGGGTGTAAGGCTGATTAAGCAAAGTTATGTCGTATTGGGGGAGTATGTTGGGAATACTCTAAGTACGTGGGGTGTACTTCCCCTTGACTCAAACCCTAATCTTTAGGGTTTTAACCCTATATATGGAACCTTAAGTCCTATTTCCTCATCCCATTTCCAGCCCCTGTCACTTGAAACGCTGCCCCTTGCAAACCTTAGCCTCATTGTTGCATTTTGAAGCTTGAGAGAGTGTTTTTGTGTGTTTTAAAGGAAGAAGAAGGTAGTGGTGAAGCTTAGAAGCTAGAAGCAAGCTTGGATCCGGAAGTCTTGCATCATCCTTAATCTCCAGAATGTATAAGTTTATACCTTGGTGATTAGTTTTTTATATCTTGAGATATGATGAAATTATGAAGTTTTTGTTGGGTTTTGTACAAACAATCCTATGTGTGCATGCAACCCTAGAATTGGATCTATGTTTTCACTATTAGATACACAACATTGTGAACACATAAAGAATCCCTAATACTAGCATATAAGTAATCATATTAACATAAGAATAGGTTTATAATATTACCTTGATTGTTATGTAGCAATAACAATCCCAAATCTCCTTGTATTGACTTTGGAAGGCTTAGAGTCACAAGTGTCACTCCTCTAATGGCTTACAAACACCAAGAGCAAATGGAGAAGGTATAAAGAGAGAGGAGAGAGGTTAGAATTCGTCCTTAGATGCTCTAGGGATCAAGTGCACGAATTCTAAGGCCTTAGGGGTCTTTATATAGGGTTAGGATTAAGGTTTTAGTCCTTATCCTTATCTAGTTGCTTGTCCACCAAGCAACCATAAGATAAGTCCTAGAAACCCTTATCCTAGTCGAATTCTAAGGGATTTACACCTCTAATTCGTTCACCATATATATAAGATAATCCTTACCTTATTTTGTAACTATCACATAATTACAATTCAGCCCCTCTAGTTTAATTAATTACACTTGATCACAAAATTAATTCTTAATTAATTATTGACCAATAATAATTAAACAAATATGATTTCTCCTTTAATATATTATTCTTATAACATATTAATAAATCATATTATCCTCTCTCTCTCTATATATATTTCTCCAATCAAGTTGCTTCGGTGAAGGCAACCCAAAAGGACCATGCACCATCGGGTCAAGTACATACCAAAATAGTTATGGACTTAGACACTAATCCAACAGTCTCCCACTTGGATAAGTCTAATAACTATTCTGCGTATGACTTCAGATCCTGATCTGCAATCGTAGCTTTCCAAAGCCGCTGTCAACTCTGATCATATCAGATACGCGTGTCCTTAGATAAGGGATCATATATTCCTCCATTCTAGATATCATATGAGATATGATTTCTAATCATTCTCTTTGTACTACTTCTCGATTTCTGATTTATGACGACAGACTAATTGAACAAATCAAATTAGCCCTAGCCCGGCCGAGCATTTACGTATGTCATCACTAAACCATCGAGGGGCCCAAAGATATCGCTTTTATCCTACTTTGGATAAAAGGAACGGATAAACTTTGATACAATGCTCGCTTGCACTCACTCACCGAATTACACACAACAATATGTTTTATAACACCAAGTTACTAGTGCGTTTACATATTATCAACGTGCAACCGATTCGCAAGATACAACTCACACATCTCGGTTTCAAGAATATAAGATGTTATCGTCTCACAAATCACTCGTGATACAATTCATGGAGCGATCCAAGTGAGCGTGGGTTTAATCCAATGCTCAAATCATATTCGTAAGCACTCATGAACGTTGCAGCAAACATTTGCTTATGTCTAATACTTTTCTAGACAATCCACACACCAATTCATGACAGTCTTCATTCATATCTACTTCCAACATATGAACGACTGTGGCCCGTTCGAATAATTCGATTATTCTTAATAAACTCAATTATTCTGGAAGTCAAAACATGCAAAGTGAAACACAAGAATAATACTAATCCCATATGGCCTCAAACTTTTGAGTATAAATAAAACTCCTTTTATTTATCACCATACCGATTACTCATTATTTGTCGTTTCGGGTAATCAACTTCTTACTTGAATTATTACACTTGTCCCATGCTCCTAGCATGCACACAATGTTTACCTATGGTTCTTACTTTTGTGAAATAGACAAATTGAGCACATTTCCAATCATTCTCATTTCACAACTCCAAATCCTTTTTCATAAGTGTAAGAATATCAAATTCTTGCTACTTACAGAATATGCTAGATTCTAACATTCTATGCAACGATCCTTTCGTAATGTCATTGCACCAAAGTCACAAAGACTATTGCCAATGATATTACAAAGTTCTAACGGAGATTGTTACAAGACAATTCCTTAGATATGATGTCTCTCACTCAAAGTACATTCCTTTGAACATCCTTTTGCATAAAAGTTTCTAATCTAGTCATAGATTTTCAATATTTACTTCCCAATATAGACACGCTTCCATATGTTCCATATGACAACTTATTCTTAATAGAATCTTTTCTATTCATAATAAGGTCGATATGGTCCATCCAATATGGAAACATTTCCACATTTTCCATATGACAACTCATTCTTAATAGAATCTTTTCTATTCATCATAATGTCAATATGGTCCATTAATACCATTCTTCCAACTACTCACAAGCAACCAATCCTCATCGAACTTTGGATTGTCCTTTGTTAGTTGTTTAATTATTTTAGTCAAAACCAATTCTAGTCCCTTTTTCCTCTAAATGCGCTAGACATTTGGAAAATTTTAGAATGGTCAAATATTAAAGCATTTGCAATCGATCCTATACCCGAAGCGTATGAGACACGACGCATAATGTTTTATTTGCTATGTTCTCAAAATTCGAATTATGAAGAGGAATGCCGTAATCATAATCGAAATTTTAAGAACACACTATGTACCTTTGACTAAATTTATTAACATTTTCAACCTAATCCTTTAGATTTGAAATGAAGCATAATATTCTCTCCCTTAATTATAGCAAAACAACTTTACAACCCTTACGACTTTGCAAGGTATAACTCTTGTTTTCTATAATTAATATTGCCAACTTGCAATACTTTCCATAATAATCATACAATCATAACTTTTATGCTCCCACTATCATGATGATTACTATAAAACATAACACTTATGCTCCCACTAGCTTCGACATGTATTCAAAACATCTTAACTTCCAGAAAAACAATACCTATTGAATTTCTTAAGTTCATGTTTCTAATACTTAATGCTTTGATAATCTTTTATCAAGGCTTCTTGAACTTATACACCTTTGCCTTAGATAGTTCATATGTGTGTCTAAACATTTAAGACTAATTGCCAAACCTCACAATTCAAATCATGGAAAGGGATACCGTAACCATAATTGAATTTGAGAATGAAATTTTACAATCACTATCTTCTTAAAATCTTTCTTAGTGAAAGCATTTCCTCACAATCATTTTCATGAAGTAGGAAATCTTATGACACTTAGATTTAAAGCTGTGTATTTGTTCCTATCCATGTGAATTTGTTAAAACCAAAGTTTACGACAAATTCAAACTCATATGGACCGAACTTTCTTAATCTTGATTTCTTGCCTTATGGTAGCACAGCTGCCCACCATGTCTTCCAAGTAGTTAAGCAGCTCACCCTTTCCTAT